AACCTTTCCCTTACCTTCTCCCTTCTACCTTTCCCTTCCCCTCTCCCCTCTCCCTCTCCCTTTCCCTTCCCTTCTCCTCATCTACCTTTCCCTTCCCCTCTCCCCTCTACCTTTCCCTTCCCCTCTCCCCTCTACCTTTCCCTTCCCTGGTCCCGCTCATCTTCCTCGTTGCCGCTGATCTTGAAATGTCCTTCCTCCCCCCTCCCTCCCCCTTTCTCTCCCCCGGAGCTGGGCGCGCGGGTGGTGAGGGGGAAGGGGGTAAATACGCATGTCTGAACTTGCTCTCCGTCGTTGTGGCGTGTGGCGCTGCTGCGCGTGCCGGCTGCCGGCCCGGGTCAAACGAGCCGAGGGCGTCGCGGCGGCCGGACGGGACGGACCAGCAGGCCGGGTTACACTTGGCATTGCTTTTGCACGTCGGGCCAGTGTTTGTGGGATTGACGAGTACTGATCCAATCCGCGGTCCTGATTAGCCGGCACGTCAGAGGCCGTCGCCGTGCGGTTGCAGTGCGTATCGCAGGCTGGGCTACACTTGGAGCGCGCGCTGCTGCACCACACTGGCCCTGGCCAGGCGGGTGCAACGTTTCGGCAACGTTTTGAACCTCGCGGGGCTGTCTGTGGTGCGCGGGAAGGTGACCGGCGCGGCCGCGTGGCGGGGGTGGGCCGTGGGCCCTTCTACACTTGGGCTGACTTGGCCGCGAGGCCCTATTGCATCATGTCGGTTTAGTCCGGCCCAGAGCCGCGCACGCCGCGGGCAGGAGCGAATCAGTTCGCCGTCGTTGCTCAATGGTGAAGTGTGGGGGGCGGGGTGGCCGGCCTCTGTAGATGGTCGGGTTGTCGTCCTTTTCCTGCTTTCGTTGTCGTTTGCTAATGCACCTGTTTTCCTGTGTGTTGCAGAATGAAGAGGGCTGCCTGGAAGTGGGCCCAGGAACGAGCGGGAGTGGCCAGTAGATGGACTTGGCTTCAAGCGCAGATCTCTGACCTGGAGTACCGGATCAGGCAGCACACTGAGATCCATAGACAAATACGCTTAAATAAAGGAGAGGTGAAGTTGAGTGAATCGCTTGGCCAGGGAGTGGAGTCAGCTCAGACCCTGAACGGCTTCCACACCAACTCCGTTGATGGAGTAAAAGACCCCCCAGAGTGTATGGGAGCCACTGGGACTTGTCGTACAAGACCTTTCATAAGGACTAACTTCCGAAAAAGAAGATTGTTAAATACGGCTGGTCTACATTTGGTTTCCAAGAAAGCAGCTCGTCCATCAAACATTCGCTGTGGGTGCCGGTTACCCTTGGCTTGTTGTGCACTTTGCACTGGACGTAGTGATCCTACATATCCCAGGGAACAACCAGAACAGCTCACTGTTCAGGAGAGGATTGCTCTGCTTGACCCTGCCTACCATCCTGTGCTTTCTTTTCCGAGTGGTGAGTGTCAATATTAATAAAACAGTTTACGTGGTTTTAGAGTCTTGAAGACTTAATAACTGCTGCCTCGAATTTAAATTAGCCACTTTTCATTAATTTGTACTCCTTTCTTTTTGAAGCAGATGTTCCTCAGAGTATACACCTAGAAGCTCTTATGAGAACCCCTGAGTGGCAACAAAAAATGCAGCGGGCTGCACACAAATCTTCTCAGAGGGTGATTGAAAGACGGGAAAGGGAGAGGGAGAGAGAGCGTGAAGCTTATGATGAGCTTCGAAGTAAGAAACTTGTTGTAGATCACAGGAAGAAGTACCAGAGGCTGAAGAAACCAGGCCATACTCTCGCAAATATCCAAAGTAAGTTTTCTGTTTCAATTGCATATGCATTACTCGCATTTGATAGTTTCCAATCTAACACAAACATTACTTTATTTTCTTAGAAATTAAAAAGAAACTTACCCGAGGAAGGAAGCCGAAGAACCATGATGCTGAAAGTTTATTGAGGCATAAGAGAAAGCACAAGTTTCGGCGAAATTCATGTAAGCACTGGTCTACAGCATGCATTTAGTATAGCTGGCTGAATTGTGATCAGCAAAGTTGTAAACACTTTATTCATGTGATAATGTATTTTTATCTATCTATTCCATACTGATCTTACTTTTCTTCACAGCACTTGCTCATGCAGGTTATGATGAGTCGTGTCCTGATGAGCTTCGGGTGGACATTTCGGGCAGTGGGCATCCCTCACCTGCACCTTCTCCAGGGGATGAAAGAATTCATTCGTTTGCAGTAGAGAGAACAGAGGCACTAAGGTGAGAATTAGATTCATATTTTGTTCTGAATGATGAGCCTCAGTGTATCTCCGCATGCTGAGCTGTCATGCCCTTATTGTTTTGCTAATCAATTGAAATTATTTTCAGGAGAAAGCGAGAAAACTCCTATGATATTGACAACATAATGATTCCACACAGCCTTGCATCATCAGCACGAGTTGAAAAATTGCAGTATAAGGAAATCTTGACTCCCAAGTAAGTAGTTTTCTTCTGTATATAAGTCTAATTGATTCAGGACAGGTATTGAATTGTTATTAAATCTAACCATATTTTTCTTCTCTTTTTTAAGGTGGAGATTAGTTGATCCTGAGCCAGCATTGGATTCCAAAAATGGTGGTGTCCGAAGATCTAGTCATGAGAGTGATGTAAGCTCTTTTCTATTGTGTATAATTCTGCTTGAATTATACCATACCAATTTCAAGCAACCATACTTTTCTATCAAATATGTTCAAAATGTTATCTTTACATTTACCTTTATAGGTTGAGGATGTAAGTGATGAAACTATGATGTTGAGGCATGAGCGCTGTGAAATGGAAGAACGCAAGAAGTTTATGGCTTATGTCAAAAATGCCAATCCAGGGAGAACTCGCACACATCGGAGAACTGATAGTAGGGCTGGCAGTAGTGGGGCCAACACACCTGGTGAGTGTACTTTTGTTGGTCTTACTCCAAACACCATTCCTCTGCTTCTTAAAAATTAAATTACCTTTTACTTTTTTTGCTCTTTCAGATCCAATGTCACCAAATACACCAGCAGATCTATTAGGAGATGGGATGTCTCCTATAACATCACCACCAGGAACACCTGGGGGTTCTACTGCAGAGCATGAACCTTGCACATCCTCAAGTGTTGTAGCCTCTATAGCCAGCCACTTTGCTCGACGAAGCAGGACTTTGTCTCAGTCTAAGCTAGCCAGAGAGGAGTTTGCTCGTTCAGCTACCCCAGATTACGATGATGTAAGTTTCCATTTCATCATCTATCCACCACCCAGTCAATAATTCTAGGTTTCTGATCTAATTTTTTTTCTCCATTTGTAAAGGTTGCACCTTATGAGCCCCGTTCATTCCCACTCTCTGATGAAGCATATGAGAAGATGCTCAAAGTGATGCCTGAATGGTACCCTGCTCCACCCTACATGGAAAGTAATCCTTCAAGTGTTATTGACCAGAATGAGCTGACAGATGTGGACATGCAGGATAATGCCGATCCAGTTGTGAGTTGTTCTTTTTCATGAATTGTGTTGATTGTTGTATTGAAATGCAAATCCAAATTGCTATCTGGGCTTTCTTGATTCAGGGGGAATCCTTACCTGGCACACCCAGCACTGATACTGATTCGGCCCCTGGAGAAGAGGATCCAAATGATCCAGAGTGGACCATAGGGGAGAAGGAATCTGCTGTCAAGAGATAGTGTTTTAAAGTAGGAAACCATGCTGTGAAAAATGCACTGCAACTAAAATGAAAACATACCAAAAAAATGTAATCTAGATACCTATGTATATGGTGACATCTATATATAGAGTATGTGTGAAAGTGTTTGAACACACATGGCTGGAATAGTTACAGCTTCTCATTTGAAGTTGCCACCTGACTGTGTTAATTCACTTTCATATCAAGTCATTAATTTGTACGACTATATTTTACCTGGTTTGGTGTTACAGGGAGAGGTGGACTTGTTTAGTACCTAATTGTGAAACAGAAAAAAATCTGAAATTTCAAAAACATAAGATTCTTCCTGTTTTTATTTATGTATTAAAAAGGTAAATTGTTTTTATTTGTAAAGAAACAAAGCTAATAATAGTTTGACAAGTGGTTTAAAGTTATAATTTCTTGCGCAATTTTTGTTATCCTTGTTACTACTTTTCTTCAAACCACCCATTGTTCCAACAGTACAATTGGCAATGCACTTGGCTTTCTATTATTACAGTGTTAGTAGTTTTATGAACCGAGCATCTATCTTCCTAACATGGCTTATTTCTACCCAGTCCAAGAAGGTGTCTTGCTTTTTTTGTCTGTGGTTTTTGTAAGAAAAAGAAAATATTGATGTACCTGTGGGATACTTCCATATTGTGAATTATCTATGTACTCTTCAGTGTTGTACGAATGTAATAACTACTGGTATTGCCTAAATAGCTGATATATGCAAGATGATCATCTTGACCTACTAGGGCCGTATGATTAGGCAGGTTGCAAAGTAATATGTTCTTTATTGTCCAATTTTTGCCTTTATGTGTCCTATATGATGACGTTATGTATTTCATGTATATCACCTATTGTCTTAACAGTAGTTTAAACATAACTCTAGGGTATCTAAAATTGCAGAGTGAGTAAAATTGAAAATTTATAAAAAAAGAATATAAATGTAATGTATCTTATATATTAATATATATCCATGACTATATTCATATTTTCTTTGTCATGTGTAGGTAGATATGGTAGTGTGATCTCTCGGTTTTCGTATCTAAGTACAGGCTTTGTTTCTACCATAAAGAATCTTATTTATGTGTCTACATACACTTCAGTAAGAGATTTGTTGTTGATCTGTTTTGCATTACAGAGTTGTTTAGTGACAAACTGCCTTTGCGGCTAGTTTTTGCTAGGATGAGTGTCACTTATGTTAATTACTATTTGTTTCCTTTTTGTGTTTCAACTGTTTCAAAACAATTGTACCTATCATTTTAAGTGAACCATGTTGAGACTCATGGACTGAAGTGTTAGAATTTTATGTCACTTATTTAGAAACTGTATATAATGTAAATGTCTGTAATAAATTACAACTTATAAATATTGTCAGTATTGTAGTGTAATTTTATACTTATTTTGTAGTTGTGCTCTGTGACTGTGAGGAGAATGTGCAAATTAAATTGAATGAATCATAGTTAAGCATTTTTATAAACTGTGTTCCTTTCCTGACCTTGAACATTATAGCACTTTCAGTAAGTTCTTTGTCCTATAAGAGTAAACTGTGTTGGTAAATATGTTAAGTATGTACCGTACTATATTAATTCTAAACATAAAACTTTTGTCTCTTTCATTATGAGCACCACATTCATTTGGTCTGATTTGCACAGTTCTCAAGAGTGGTGGACTGTGAATGTGGGTGAGTAGCATTGTCTTTTTTTTTTGCTTTCCAACTTGTCTGTGAGAGATGTACTAAGTTTGCCTAGTTTCTTTTTAATCTGATATTTTGACGATAGGAAAAAAAACTCTGCTTCTTGCATCCCAATTAATGTGTGTTTGCCTATCTATGACCACTTGATGTCCTAATATGGAACACTATTGATATTTCTCGGAACTGAAAAATTTAAAATGAGATTGTTTATGTTAAAGGTGTGAAAGGTGAAAAATTTTCATGTGTTGAAAACTGATTAAGACTGTTAAAAAATTAAATTTGGTGCTAACATCTAACCTCTTTGTTTCAATCAAATCAATTATTCTCTTTCTGACCTGGTATACTCTTGCACCACACCTAGGCTCGAAGAGAGTGGTTCAGGCCGCCTGGCTCCACAGCAACATGATGAAATACAATTCAAACCTAACCATGAGGCCACGGCGCGTCAGGTACCGCCACTATCGCCCTGCACATCGAGACACTCGTTCAGACGGGTATTCGCCGCAAGGTATCATGATGGCATCCCGACACGGGGGGTATCGCCGCCGTGCAGCAATACTTCCCGCCTCGGCGGCTCCCCCACCCATCTCAGCTCTACCCGGTCTCGAGTAACCTGCGTGCCCCTCGCCGCGCGCCCCCGGGCTCCACGGCACTCTGAGCTTACACCTGGCGGGCCCTGGACGGCGGCGGCGGTTGGTTTCCGGAGCCGGAGCGCGGATGGAGCCGCGGGCCGTGGCGAACCGCGCCAAAGCCCGTTTCTTTCCGGGGACGGGGGGGGGGACGGGGGAGCGCGCGGCAAGGCGCCGCGGCTCGACTCGGCTCGGCTCCAAGATGGAGAAGAAAAGACAGTGGAGGGGGCTGAAGGCTCATGGCAGTGAGTAGTGAACCAGTTAGTTTTGTGAAAGTCACCGTCGTGTGCGGACCGAACGTTGGACGTCCGCGTCGGTCGTGGCGCAGCGTAGCGTGGGGCCGCCGGGACCGAAGGAGTTGAAACGCGGACACCTCGCGCGGCGCACCCGCGAAGAGTGGTGCAGTGGAAGCAGCAGCCCCGCGACTCCAGCTCCAGGATCAGGAACCCTAACCTCGCGGGACGGCGGCGGCGCGCGCTGTCAGGTGGCCCCGGTACCCGCGACTGACATGTCGCCGGCGCGCGAGTGACGCGCACGTCGGGGTGGTTCAGTGATAACGCGAGTGATGGGCGGCCCGCGGCCCTTGTCGCCGACCAGCTCCTCCGCGGCGGCGCCAGCCGTCACGACGACGACGACGCGGGCGTGATGGCGGCGGCGCAGCGAGACGTCCCCGCGGCCGCCAGGATGACGAAGAGGGCCTCCACGGCCTGCTGCTGGGCGTGCGGCGTGCTCCTGCTGCTCGTCGTCGGCGGGCCGGCCGCAGGTGAGAAACGAAACGGCGGGACTTGGCCGGACAGAAGACCTCTGTTGTGTTTGCTCGGGTAGAAAGTTGCACAGGAGAAGGGTGCAGCGCGCGGCGGAGCGCCCGTGTGAGGAGGTGAGGGCCGGGGCGGGGAGGGCGGGGCGGCCAACGCCAACGCTCGGATTTCTGCGGGTTGCATAAGGAGGGGCGGTTCGGCTCAGATCCTTTGTCAATGGTGAGCTAATGTGTCAGGGGCCGGGCGGCGCGCGGGGGATCTAGTTCAGGCGGGACAGGAGGACAGTCCAGCCGGACCGGACAGAGGAAGAGGGAAGCGGGCGGCGACGCGCCGCCGAGTGGCGTAGATCAGGTTTCAGAAGTCGCTCGCGGGTCGCCTTTGAGTTGCCATTCACATGGGTTCGAGTCAAGGTCGCCGGAGTGCACAGACAGGTGCAGCACCGCGAGGTCTGACCGTGGACAAGCGGAGGATAACCGAACTGCTTAAATTTCGGTTCGCGGGGCGTGCATCTTTTTGAAACGGTCTCTGATCACAAGCCTATCGCCCTCGCCTCTCGGTCCCCTCCTGGCCGTACGCTTGCCCTTCGAGCAATTCGCGGATCGTGGGTTACACACGTTGAAAAAGAGGAATGAAAACCTCGGGGAGAGAAGACTGGCGCGTCCGGAATCGTTAGGTTCGTGCGCACCTTCCTCCCTTTCCTTAGCCCGTCGGGTCCGGAACGGCGGCGTGGGGCATAGTGCTTGACCTCTAGCGTGCGCGTGCCACGGGGTCGCTGGGCATCGGGCGTTCCGGAGCGTGGGAGTGGTGATCTATTCCTCGGGTGTGTGAGTGTGTGAGTGTGTGTGTATGCATACACACATGTGTGTGTGAACTGGGCGTGTGAACGGGCCCTCCTGCCTGCCCTGCCCACCTTCGTGGGTCCCCTTGCTCTTCTCCGCGCGTCGTGGTTTGAAACACGATTCCCTTTCTTCATCTTCTTCTTCTTCTTTTCCCGTCCCCTTTGCTGCGGCCCGCGAGCAGGCCCAACGATATGAACCGGTAATCACGGTAATTAGTCGTCGTTGGGGCCACCGCGCCCGAACCCACCCTCCTCGTGTGCGCGTGTGTGTGAGAGAGACAGAGAGAGAGAGACATAGAGAGGGAGGGAGACAGAGAAAAAGATAGAGAGACAGACAGAGCACCTTATGAGTGTGACCGTCATCCTCACCGCCCCTTTGAACTTTTTTTCTTGTCCCGCTCATCTGGATGTGTGTGATGGTGATGCAACGTTACAAAGCTTTGGCTGTGGCCCGCCCCGCCCCGCCTTACCTATGGGCCCGTGGGTAGGCTCGTGTGCCCCCGCCCCCCGCGCCCCGCCCCCCGCTAGATCAAGGCGTGATGTTACGCGCCGCCACGCCGCGCTATTCAGGCGGGTGGCCCCGCCGCGCCAGCGTCACAGTGCGTGGTGGCCCGGGCCCCGGGCCGGGAAGAAAAGAAAAGTCTTCTTGATGGGCCGGAGGAGGTGGAGGAGGAGGGCGCCGCAAAGTGACTCCGGGAGCGGGGACCTTCCGCGGGGCGGGGCGGGGCGCGTCGTCGCCCTGCACTCCGCGGAGCGTATAGCGTGACCGGCCGGATGAGACGAACCGGAGGGCGTCCGCGCACCTCATACTCTGCTGCTGTTCCTCGCAGGACACTCTCCTCGTCCTCCAAACTCGTCTCTCCGAGGCGCTTCATCACAGCCGCTCTCCAGTCCCTTTCACGGCCGCGCCCTGCCGCAGGGTACCGCAGGGCTGCCCGCCGTCTCCTTCCTTTCTTGCGGGCGGGGCGGGGCGGGGCGGGGCACGGCGGGGCCCACGCCATTCCGTGCTCCTTCCTTTCCCCAGCCCGACGCAATGCTCGAGGATCACATCGCTCCGCCGCGTGCTCGCCGTGCCCCGGGCGGGGCGGGGCCGGGCCTCTCGGTGGTTGATTCTTTGGCTTTCGGAAGACGCGCGGCAGCCACCGCCGCGCTGCCGCTGTTGCTGCCTTTGCCTTGCCTTTGCTCGCTCGCTCGAACCGAACGTCGCCGCCTTCCTCTCTCTAAGAAGGCGCTGACTTTCACTTTCCGAACGTGGACGCACTGGCAGGGCAGGCAAGCAGCCAGAGGCCCGCGGTGCGGCGGCATGGCACCTCAAAAGCAGACATCAACAACGCCCCACCCCGCCC